TGCTTTGTATGGCTCTGCATAGCTGTGATTGGTTACAGTGATCGCATGGTACAGACAGGGCCAATCACAGCCCACCTGTACCATGTGATTACATAGTTACATAGTTAGTCTGGCTGAAAAAAGACAAAAGTCCATCCAGTTCAACCATAAAAAAGGCAAAAAAAACCCAGCAAAAGCATGATGTAATTTTCTCCAAGAAAGAATCCAGGACTTTTTTAAAGCAATCCACTGAGCTGGCCAGAAACAACTCTTGAGGGAGTCTATTCCATAGAAGACTGTGTTTGATGGTGGTGGATGCACTATTCACTGGATTATGTTGATAAGGACACTTACAATCATTCACTGAGATATGGACTTATTCAATTTACTATTAATCACCTTTATTATATTTCCTAAATACTGATTTAAGTGTATACACAGTGCAACATATTGGTTAACGGATGGATCAATCTATGTCCAGCATTAGATTATATGTTAGATTGAAAGATTTTAATGAATCGAAGTCAGTAAGTATGGTACGTTTCCCTGTTTGATTGCTGTGATTGGCTCACAGTGATCATATAGTACAGAGCCGCTCAGATAATTTCTGTACACTGTGTATGTAAACAGTGTTTGACGGGCACACTGCTTGCCAATTGGCTATTTCTGCAGTAACATTTATAAACATTGCTGCATAATAAAACCACCACTTCATTGTTTGAAAACGGATGGTGGTAATAATGTGGTAAAGAGACCCTGTCACCAAACCATTTATTTCAACAAAAATCTTACCATAAGATTACATGTAATTTAATGTATTTTAGGCATGTTGTTTACCTGTAAATGCCTCTCTTGTGTAAATAATAAAAAGCCCTCTGACTGTTGCTGGGTACCACCATCTTGGATGTGATGTCAAAAGCTCCAGCAGATTTAGAGCTGTCACTCAAGTGATACTCTATAGTATTCACCATCACTTCTTCCCCAGCAGCTATATAAAAGGTTATGCAGGGAACTAAAGGGAGGGATGCAGGAGCTGGGCCAGCATGGACAGTACTTAGTCACTCCCAGAAGAGGAAAGGGCTATGATGTGCAACAGAGGGGGTTGTGCTGGAAAATTGACACCCCTGGAGTAGTTACGTCTTCTAGCAAGCTCATTGCAAATAACAAAATATTTATGAAAAGGAAAAACATTGCAAGCAAGCATTTAAAATCCTTACTTTTTCTGTGCTTTTACTTACAAATTTTAAAGTTGGTGACAAAGTCTCTTTTAAAGCTTTGCTCATTCAACACCATGGCTTGGTTGTAGTTTTGTCAGTTTTCATTGTATACAGGAAAACTCCACTGTTATGAAATATGACCTTTTCATTTCATTCTGCAGGCATTTGTGGTTTTCCAAACCAAACATGGCAAGAATACTCTGTTCTCTTACGGAACACCCCGGAATTCCCATGCCCCGGTTTATGTGGCCAGCTTGCAGCATTTCCCAGTCTGCACAGTGCTGGAACTCAAATTACAGGCATCTGTTTTCATTGGCACTGGTGATTGCACAACACTGCATTACCTCTTTATACAATTTTTTTTCTAAATCTGTGTAAGCTGAATTATTGCAATTTACAGGCAATTACTTAAAATGGAACTAAACCCATTGATTTAACTGTTTCCTAAAACAGTACAGAGAAGGGCAACCAAACTGATACGAGGCATGGAGGAGCTCAGCTATGAGGAAAGGTTAGAGGAACTGAATTTATTCTCGAGAAGAGGGGATTAAGGGAGGATATGATCAACATGTATAAATACATCAGTGGTTCATATAGTGAACTCGAGGCATCAACAGCAAGGCTCCTACTCTCCATTCATCATACATCTGCATCAGAGGCTGGTCATCAGCTCTGAGGAAAGGGATTCGTCCCCGAAACGCGTCAACCATTTGATCGCACTGACAGTGAGAACACCTTCAGTGTAGTAGGTTATAAAAAGCAGCTTTATTAAAAATTATAGTATCCAATTCAAAGTAGGCAGGTATCATAAAGATGTGTCAGCAAGACAAACTAACCCTGACACTCTGAATAATGGCCGCCGGGCCTCCACGTGGCTCCGGCGGCGTAGCGTCTCGACGTCCAGGCTCCTCCTTACACGTTACGTGCGCACGCACATCTTCAGAGGTATGGAACCTTTACCATTATTCAGAGTGTCAGGGTTAGTTTGTCTTGCTGACACATCTTTATGATACCTGCCTACTTTGAATTGGATACTATAATTTTTAATAAAGCTGCTTTTTATAACCTACTACACTATGGGTGTCCTTCCCTAAAACTCCCCTGAGGAGCTTTTGCTTGCAGAATTCTGATCTTGGAGTAGACTCCCTAAAGAGTTGTTTCTGATCAGCTCCGTGGATTGCTTTAAAAAGGCCTGGATTAATTCCTAGATACACAGAATATAACTGAATACTAACATTTCTAGATAAAGTTGATCCACGGAATATCCGATTGCCTCTTGGGGGATCAGGAAGGGATTTTTCCCCTGCAGGAACAAATTACATCATGCTTTTGCTGGGTTTTTTTTGTCTTTTTTATGGTTGAATTGGATGGACTTTTGTCTTTTTTCAGCCAGACTAACTATGTAACTATGTAATCACATGGTACAGGTGGGCTGTGATTGACCCTGTCTGTACCATGCGATCACTGTAACCAATCACAGCTAGCAACACAATTGTACACAATAAATGGCATGAATCGAAGCCAGTCATTGTTTAAAATTGTCATGTGATCTGCTGCGATTGGTCAGAGCGATAACATCGCGACTGGTACAGTGATCTCTCATCAGCTGTGTCCAGTGGACGCAGATGTAAACAGATCTTGCCGCAGTGCAGCGCATGCGAGGAACATTCCAGGAGGCTGTCATATGACAATAGGCTGGGTGGGAAGTGGTTAAAGTGATTGCAAACCTCACACATGAAATGTGAGCAAAGCACATACTTCTATAATGTTTACTTGCCTCTCTATAAAGCGCTAAGCATCATTTCTCTCTGAGTCTGGAGGAAAAAAAATTTAATCTCCAAACACGGAAAGGTTTCTTTACAATAAGAGCTGTGAAAATGTGGAATAGACTCCCCCAAGAGTTGGTTCTGGCCAGCTCAGTGGATTGCTTTAGAAAAGGCCTGGATTCTTTCTTAGATACACAGAATATAACTGGATACTAACATTTATAGGTAAAGTTGATCCAGGGAATATCCAATTGCCTCTCGGGGGGTCAGGAAGGAATTTTTTCCCCTGCAGGTGCAAATTGGATCATACTTTTCTGTTTTTTTTTGCCTTCTTCTGGATAAACTGTGGGTATAGGATTATAACTTTTTTTTTAATGGTTGAACTGGATGGACTTTTGTCTTTTTTCAGCTAGACTAACTATGTAACATTCAAGACATTCTGTGAATGTAACTGTCACCTTTGCTTGTGCTCTCATCCAAACTGAAACCATCAAATGGCTGGCATTATAATTGATCACATGTGCAGTTCCATGACACCTGCAGGTTAAACAGATGCTATGATGGCAGCTTCTGTGGCTGTAAAGGATAGGAGGGTTTAGTTTCACTTTAATTTGTGAATGATGACTGTCAAAGTTGCTTATGCTTCCAACCAAACTGTCAAGCCATCAAATGGCAGATGTCATAACTGAACAAATGTGCAGCGCAACTGTGGATCAAAAAGATGCTAAGATGACATCCTCCTTGGCTGCAAAGGATAGGGTTTAGTGCTGTTCATCCACACCAGTGGGCATGCATCAAGCTCTGAATAATGGGTGGCTGCTGGTGTGCGCTGTGTAGGGGTGGTGTGATGTATTCTGAAAACTTACCTTTTTTTTTAACTTTATTGAAATGTCACATAAGGACTGTGTTTACGTTGTGCCACACATTTTTTTATATATATGTCACTGCAGTTATAGTCTTTTGATACTTCCTCCATCTCGTAACTGAAGATCTGTGTCTTGTCCTGGATCTGCGGCCAGAGGAATAGTCTGCAGGAGTCGGAGCATTGCACCTGCTATCCACTTATCATGGTTGCAATGCATGGAAGATAGATAAACAGATAGGAAGTTATATTATATTTACATATTTTAACCTTTATTTTTTTTACATTTATTCAGTTGCTTCCTGGTTTTTAGTCTAGGCCAAAATTATGCCATACATTTCAAGAGTCTTCAAGGGCATTTTTTTTCTTTCATCTGAAGGGTTGGAAGAGGGGCTTTCTCAACTAAGCACATGCTTCTGTCTGCATGCCTGAGCTAAGGGCAGATGGATTACAATTAAGTAAATGCTTCATAAATCCTCTGCTTTACTCAAAACGGCCGCAGCTAGAAATGCTAGGGGGTATTTTTCAGACTGATTTCTCAACAAAATAAAGCATGGACACAGGGATGGATGAGTATGTTTGCTTTGGATATTAAAAATGAATTAAAATAGCATTTTCAGTTTGTGGTGCTCAGATACAGTATAGTACTGCTTCAACCAATATGTGTGTTATTTTATATATATATATTTTTTTTGTGGAGTTCACCTTTAAGATTTAGTTGCCCTCTTGAAGATTTACTCCCCTTCCTGACCAGGCCATACACTGCTGTGTTACTTTAACTGACAATTGCGCAGTCATGCAACGCTGTACATAAATAAAATGTATATAATTTTTTTCCCCACAAATAGAGCTTTATTTTGATGGTATTTGATCACCTCTGTGTTTTTTATTTTTTGCGCTATAAACAAAAAAAGACTGACAATTTAAAAGAAAAACAAACAAACAATATTTTGGACTTTTTGCTACAAAACATATCCAATAAAAAAAAAAAAAAAAAAAATCAAATTTCATCATAAATTTAGGCCAAAATGTATTCTGATATGTGTCTTTGCTAACAGAAAATCCCAATACATGTAAATTAATTGGTTCATGTGACAGTTATAGCGTCTACAAATGCCGGTATATATACTGGAATTATTCTTTTTTTAAATGCTAATAATAGCGTCGACCAGCGACTTATAGCCGGACTGCGGCGTGCATTCTGACACTGGGTGAGAACTGATTAACTGCCAATGACATCCCCAGTGACACTAATACAGTGATCAGAGCTAATAAAAAGCACTGACACTGTACTAATGACACTAGGCAGCAAGGGGTTAACATCTGGGGCGATCAAAGGGTTAACTGTGTGCTATGTTTTACATTATGTGCTGTTTGTGTTTTACTAGGGAGACATGCTGCTTTGTATTTCTCTGTTGTGCAGAGAAATACAAAGCAGCATGTCTATGTTGACAGGGGAGAGACCTGTGTTGTTTATACATAGGTCTCTCCTCTGTCAGCTCTCCCCAATGGAGAATCTCCAGCTGGGACCCAGTGATTGACATCCCTAGCTGCCAATGGCGGCGCAGGTAGGGCAGTGTGCGAACCCCCTACCCAAAAATGCAAGTCATGTATATGTACGTGAATCTGTGCAGCCCTGTCGTCCAGTAGCGGTATTTCTGCTATAGGGCGGCAGACAAGTAGTTAAACTGAGTTAGTTAAAATACCTAAATATGAAAGTCAACAGAATCCTTTTAATGTCTGTGAAATGAAAATTGCACATCAGATTTTTAAATCTACCAATTTATTACACAGCTAAGACTACAGAACACTAAAGGTACGATGAAGAAGGAGAGAACAACAAAGACACCGCAGTGTTTAAAGGCAGAAATGTTCAAGGTAAAAGAAATCTATAAAATTGGTTTACTGCTGGTTAGATTAAAAACAAAAATATCAATATCATTTTGATAGCCACAACACAGAGAATATTTATAAGTTCTTTCTCCATTGCTTTCAAAGGATTGCTAAATACCAGATCTATAGAGAAGTTAACTATTCCTCATCCATTCTAACTAGCCCTTGCCTCATTACTCTATTGTAGGCTCTGGTTGCCATGGAGATGCGTGCCGTTCCCAATTTTATTTTACATTACATACGTGTCTTTCTAGAACCTGTGGATGCTTATGGGTAAAATCAAGCTTACCTTTTGGTGGAAAGAAAGCAGAATAGAAAAATAGGTGCTATGTTTTGTTTACCAGAAGTGTAACCCTTGCCAAAGGCCTGGGAGACGGCCCTGTATCATGTGTCTACTGTGATTGGCCCTCACAGTCACATTATTGGGACTGTAAAATTAAGAATAATACAAATAAGAAAAAAATGTAAAAAAAAAAATTAAAAAACTGAATTAAAAAATTATTATTTTTTTTTTTTAACTTCACCATTAGTATCCGTGATCACCACCACACCAGTCATATGATAGTGCTGTATTGCACTGGTGACAGTATGTAAAAAAAAATCCCATGTAAAGCTTGCCATATATGAATGAAGAAACAAATTTTATTTACTTTCTTAATTTTCAAAAAAAAGTGACAAAATTACCACTTCAAAATCTTGCTATGCCTCTTAATAAATAACAGAAAAAAAGGTCATTTGGGGGGTATATGTACTGTCCAGTCATTTTAAAGGCATCAAGAAATGAGATTGGTACATCAGGACTGATCAAATTTCAGATATATATCTCCTAGTTAGTAGACACTATACCTTTCACACAAACCAATTAATATACAATTATTGAGATTTTTTTTTTACTGAAGAAATGCTGCTCTAGATTTCCCCCAGTGTTGCTTACATAAGAAAGTATCTACGCTTTGCTCACATGATTTCTGCTAAGGATCAGCAAATCTGACCTCTGGCCTTACCCTTTGGCAATGATCACATCCTAACACCTGCTTTTAGTCAAATGATCAGAACTACAGGGGGCCTGGAATAGAATTGTGTTCTAAAAAGGTACATATATCATATTATATTTCTTTTTTAATATTTTATTATTCTTTAATTATCCTCCTGGCAAGATAATTAAGATAGATTTATGCTAACATTTTAATAAAGGTTAACATCTGGGTATTGGTATAACAAAACTCTAAACATTTAATATAGTGAAGTTTACCATTACTTAGATGTGGTGGCTGCATTAGTTATTATTTTTCAGCCCAGCATTTTCAGAGCAGAAAACGATGTATCTGTTGATCCTGTCAGATGTGAAGTGTCCTTGTCATTTTTCTGAGATGCAATGGAAGCAAAAAAAAAAAATGTATCTTCCTTCTTTAATCTCCCTAGCGGTCTGATTATGCCCATATTTCTGTGCTCAAAGCGGTACATTTTTTTGCATGGAAATATGTAGTTTTTTTATTGTAGGCCTGTAATTTTTAGGAATAACTCACTGAAATCTGTCCCGAGCAAGAGTCTAGTAAACATCCCGGGTATGTTAAAATTTGAAACACGAAATCATAAATTATAATTTAATAAATAATCATAAAAAATAATAATATAATAATAATAAATTTGATTCAATAATATAATCAAACCAAAAACACTGAAATTTGAAATATAGCACCAAGTTCGCACATCACTGAGCAAAGTCGCAAAATCGTTTTCAGTGTCTGATGACGAATTTCCTCACGAATCATTATCACTCAATTCTGCAAGTGATTCTGATTTACTATCACTGTTATCTAGCCGGTCTAAAACCGATTTTGACCTAAAAGGACGCTTTTTGGACGCCATGGACATTTCTCAGTTTCCAGGCAGAAAGAACAGTAAAAATGCAGGCAGGACGCAGGACAAAGCACTCGGGACAAAATGTATGTGAAATGGTTTGATACAGTAATGTTTTACTATGTGATTTTAGTGAATTTAGTGAATGTCACTTTTTGTCATTTTCAAATTTCCCGCCGTTCCATCCCCCGTACGTCCCAACGCTCGCAGGGAACGGAACTGGAAGACAGATGCCGGCATCCGCCGGAGGATATTGCCGGGGACAGTGCAGGAGGGACATCGCGGGAGCGCAGGACAAGGTAAGTGAAGAACAGATCACGGAGCAGTGCCGCATGGTAAGCCGAGTGTAGCTCGGGGTTACCGCTTGTGGTACTGAAACTTTACCCCGAGCTACACTCGGGAATACCGCCAGGGAGGCTACACCACTAATCCCATCACAAGCCTTTGTAATGTAGATTAAAAAAGACAGATGTGTTTGAAGAGCAGGCTGTGTGACAGCCATGGCTTCCTCCGTAGATACAGTGGAGGAGTGAGCATAACCACCCAGGGAAAGGAAGTGTGTTATTTGAGGGGTTACCAGTTAAAAAAAAAAAAAAAAAAAAAGAAGTATAGCCAAAGCTTTTGTTTTTTATCACAGGTGTGTAGTTAGTGTTGTAGCTCGTTTTCAGCTAAATCCTTCTGTCGGCTGACTTCACAGAGCCGGTTCAGGCTTTCAACCTCTAAGCTGCACAGCTGGGAAACTGAGCCAGCCACTCATCCCCAGCTGAAGAGGCAAAGCAGGCAGTCACATCTCTCTGTTCAGAGTGGAGGGGGAGAAACTGAGCGATTGTAGTGTTTGATCGCTCAGTGCTCTGTGCAGAGTCAGTGGGGACCGATGCTGCATCTACCTAGGTAAGTAAAAAGATTTTTTTTATGAATCCCATACCTCATATTTAATATTTTCATCACAGCCACACAAAAATACACACTCTAGCCACTTCCTGTCTGGCCCATGTATATAAACGGCCGGACGCAGGGGCATATTTACCACAAGGCAAACAAGGCATTTGCCTAGGGTGGCATTTTTCAGGGGGGGGGGCAGCACTGCCCCCAGAAGAAAGGACAGAAGGGACACATACAGCATGGGGACCAGGTAGGATCCAAGAGAGTGAGGGGGGGGGAATGTGCGTTAGTGGAAGGCTCCCTCAGGTGGGGGGGCAGGTGTGTTGTTGGTCAATGTCAGGCTCTAACCGCGGAGGGAGGGGGAGGGCATCCGATTTTTGTGCTGCCCTAAATACACCACTGGCCGGACAGGAGCAGTGCAGGGGCAGGTGGCCGTTTATAAATGTCCTCCCCGCTTCCCTGCTTGTGCGCGCTCCCTGGGAGCGTGCAGCACCGTGATCCTCCGGACACAGCGAAACACTGATCATTGTTGGGGACCTCTATGTGAGGTCCTGATCATGTGATCACTGATTGGCCAATCAGTGATTACATGAAGAGTAGTAGGCAAGATGTCACTTTTGACATCATTGCTTACTACTAGTGAAATCTGTGATTAATCACAGAGATCACATGTTACAAGGCTATTCACAACAGCCTTGTACCATGTGACAAGCTGTGACCAATCATAGCTCACACAGTATTTCTCAATGGCTGCAAGAATGCAGTGAGAGAGAAGGAGAAATGATTGCTTCTACAGCCTTTATGGGTGTAAAAGCAATGTGTAAAAAAAAACAAAAAACTTAATCACCCTCCACAAGTAGTACAGTGTCAATATGGTGACACTGTACTTCTAGGGTGACGGTATGTAAAAAATATAAAAAAATAATATAAAAAAAAATAAAAATGTAAAAAGTAAAAAAATTATAATTTTTGGTTATAAACTAATTTGGGGTTTTATTTTTTACTAAAAAGATAACTAAATACATTTTGACCAAGATTTATGAAGAAAGACTATTTATTTGCAACATTTTATAAGAAAAACACTTTTTTTTTCAAACTTTTTGGACTTTTTCATTTATATAGCAAAAAAAAAAAAAAAAAAAAAATTCAAACAAAATAAAGTTTTATCTGTCTCAAAAAATTTGAAAAAATTCATATGGGTACAGTGTTGCATGACCGTGCAATTGTCATTCAAAGTGTGATAGCACTGAAAGCTGAAAATTGGCCTGGACAGGAAGGGGGTAAAAGTGTCCGGACTTGAAGTGGCTAGGGTCAATTGTAAGTGTAGCACTACCACCTCAGGGGCCGCTGAGAAATTTTTGGGTTTGCTGTCTTTCTTGACTACTCTGGAAGCCCAACCCCTGCTGACACCACCTTAGACCTCTGCCCAGAAGAATCCTCTGGCTGCAACTATAAAACAGACCCACACACAGTTTAGAGTGAACTGATATTTCATTGTAGTGAGATCAAATGTAAGCACAGTAGAGCAACAGAAAAATATTTGCATAAGATAACAGCTGTCACTTTAGTAACTTGAAGTAAGGGTCACTACACAGCACAATCTCAGCCAGCTCTAGAGGTCCTGCTATTCAGAATTTAAACGATAGCCCCAGTCCTGAGACGTTTTTTTCCCCAGTGAATAATAAAACTACAAAGCTGAGAGGCTAATTCATTTTGGGCTCTCAGTAGCTGAGGGCTGAGTCTAATTCTGAGAAAAAGATGAGCGTTTCAACTGCAGTGTCAGACCTTCTGTATGCTTGATGGGGCCCTAGATGGTGCACATAAGGATTAAAATCTTCCTTGAGGCAGGGAAGGGAGCTGTCCCTTTAAATTATATT